AAATTCGACTGGGTCAAGTTCATATAGGAATTCCATCCGTTACTAGTGCTGTTAACTGTGATCCAAGATCTCAGTGATCAAAGGATAAATTATATTGTAGTCTTAAATATGCTTAGATTGATACATCCTGTTGACGCAAAATGGAATACCTATAATTCCATTTGCATACGAGTTCCTTCTTTTCTTAAAGGGGGAAAATGCTACTCTTTACGTACGAGTTCCTGAGCTAATTTGGTACCTGTAATTCATTCTTTCCTTAAAGGGGGTATCCCTGACCTCTGCATCGATTAATGCACACAGCCATTAGTATTTTTATTCTGCCATGTAATATGCTCTATCTTTGCTGTTTAGATCAAATGGCCGAGGCGGTACTCATTGCTGTGACGAAGATTGGTGACATTTTACTAGAAGAAGCCACCAAAGGCATCATAGCTAAGCTTTCTGAAAAAGTTACTAATCTGAAGGAACTGCCGGTAAAGGTTGAGGAAATAAAGAAGCAACTGACCATGATGGGCAATGTTATAAGGCAGATAGGCACGGTATACCTCACGGACGACGTTGTCAAGAGTTGGATTGGGGATGTCCGCAGGGTGGCCTATCATGTTGAAGATGTAATGGATAAATACTCATACAACCTTCTTCAACTTCAGGAAGAAGGGTTCCTGAAGAGATTCTTCATCAAAGGAACACATTATGTCAGAGTTTTCAGTGAAATTACGGATGAGATAGTTGAGGTAGAGAAGGAGATTCAACTAGTTATAAAGATGAAAGAGCAGTGGTTGCAGCCCTCCCAGCTTGTCGCTAACCCACTTACTGAGATGGAAAGGCAGCGGTCCCAAGACAGCTTCCCAGAATTTGTCAAAGATGGAGATCTAGTAGGAATTGAATACAACAGGATATGGCTGACCAGCTTGCTGTACTCCGAAGAGCCAGAGCCAGAGAATACCGTCATAACAGTATCTGGCATGGGTGGGTTGGGAAAATCTACCCTTGTTTCAAATGTTTATGAACGTGAAAAGATCAACTTCCCCGCACATGCATGGATCGTTGTGTCACAAGTTTACACTGTTGATGCCCTGTTGAGGAAGCTATTATGGAAGATCGGATATACCGAACAACCATTGTCAGCAGGTATTGACAAAATGGACGTGCATGACTTGAAGAAGGAAATACAGCAGAGACTTCAAAACAGAAAGTATTTGATTGTACTGGATGATGTCTGGGAGCAAGATGTATACTTCCAGATACATGATGCTCTCCAGGATCTCCCAGGAAGTCGGATCATCATTACGACACGGAAGGACCATGTCGCCGGAATTTCTTCTCCCAACCGTCATCTTGAGCTCGAGCCATTGAGCAAGTCTGATGCATTTGACCTCTTCTGTAGAAGAGCTTTTTACAACCGGAAGGGCCACATGTGCTCCAAGGATCTTGAGATGATTGCTACTTCTATAGTTGATAGGTGTCATGGTCTGCCTCTAGCAATTGTTACCATTGGTGGCATGTTGTCTTCAAGACAGCGATTAGACATTTGGACTCAAAAATACAATCAGCTTCGAAGCGAGTTGTCAAACAATGATCATGTCCGAGCAATTTTAAATCTGAGCTACCATGACCTTCCAGACGACCTCAAAAACTGTTTTTTATACTGCAGTCTATTCCCTGAAGACTATCACATGTCACGTGAAAGCCTTGTGCGGCTGTGGGTTGCCGAAGGCTTCGTGGTAAGAAAAGAAAAGAACACACCAGAGATGGTAGCTGAGGGGAATCTCATGGAATTGATCCACCGCAATATGCTTGAGGTTGTGGAGAATGATGAGCTTGGTAGAGTTAGCACCTGTAAGATGCATGATATTGTGCGTGAACTAGCTATTTCTGTTGCTAAAGAAGAGAGATTTGCTTCGGCAGATGATTACGCCACAATGATATTGGTACAGCAGGATAAGGATGTTCGTCGTCTGTCATTATGTGGATGGAAAGATGACACTGCAGTGAAAGTTAAACTTCCACATCTTCGAACAGTACTGTCACTTGGAGCAACTTCACCCTGCCGTGGCATGTTATCTTCTATTTTGTCAGAATCCAACTACCTTGCTGTTCTTGAGCTGCAAGACTCTGAAATCACTGAAGTGCCAACATCAATAGGGTCTATGTTCAATCTACGTTACATCGGATTACGGCGCACCAAGGTCAGATCACTTCCAGACTCTATCGAAAATTTGTCTAACCTCCACACTCTGGACATCAAGCAAACCCAAATAGAGAAGCTACCACGAGGGGTTGTCAAGATCAAGAAGCTGCGGCACCTTTTGGCTGACAGATATGCTGATGAGAAGCAGGCAGAGTTCCGGTACTTTATTGGAGTGCAAGCACCTAAAGAGCTATCCAACTTGGAAGAACTGCAAACTCTCGAGACTGTGGAGTCCAACCCTGACTTGGCAGAGCAGCTGAAGAAACTGATGCAACTAAGAAGTGTGTGGATTGATAACATTAGTGCTGACGACTGTGCAAATCTGTTTGCTACCCTGTCAACCATGCCACTTCTTTCGAGCTTGCTTCTTTCTGCAAAGGATGCGAAGGAGGCGCTTTGCTTTGAGGCTCTCAAACCAAATTCTACATATCTACACAGGTTGATTACCAGAGGACAATGGGCCAAGGGAACACTAAATTGCCCGATCTTTCTCAAACATGGGATAAACCTCAAGTATCTAGCTATAAGCTGGTGTCACCTTGGGGAAGATCCACTGGGGATGATGGCACCGCACATGCCGAACCTCACATATCTTAGACTAAACAACATGCACAGTGCCAAAACTTTGGTTCTGTCTAAAGACTCCTTTCCCAACCTGAAGACACTTGTCTTAAAGCACATGCATGATGTCAGTGAGCTAAAAATTGTTGATGGCGCTCTTCCCTGCATTGATGGTTTGTACATTGTGTCGCTGTCGAAGCTCAATAAAGTCCCCCAAGGCATTGAATCCCTTGGCTCCCTTAAGAAGCTCTGGCTGCTAGGCTTGCACAAGGATTTCAGAACTCAATGGGGCACTGAAGGGATGCATCCGAAGATGGTACATGTTCCAGAGCTTCGTGTGTAGATGCAGCACGTCGTTTCTTTCTGCAGTGCCATTCTTGGATGGTGCATCCAGTCCAACTGCATCATGCTTTTAATCATTCCAATAAATTTGCGATTATCGACATCACCAGCAGCATTTGGTCGGTACTTCTATATTGTAACACATTTATATTCCTAAAGGATCGGTTCATGCGCCTTGCACCATATGTGTTTTTTTGTTGACCGTGGACTGTACCGTTTGTGTTGTTTAAGCTACACACTCTTAGTAGTTATTTCCTGTAAAGGTATGTATTGTTTGTATCGAACATCTTGTGTGATTAATCATATCAAACATTTCATTTTGTAACATTGGTATCTTTTGATCTATGCACTATGTCACCCCATCATAATTTTGTAACATATTCATTTTATACTGTGGTTTTTTCAGTAGGTCATCTGTGTTTTTTCCCGGATGTTCAGGTTCCCAAATTTCAGATCAACAAGATCTCTTTCTTGTTTTTCATTTTTTCTAATCAGCACTTATGTGGTTCTGCATGTCTTCAGGTCCGCCAATTTTAACGGAGCTAAATTAGTAGTATCATCTGACATGCTGTGTGACACAATAGGAGGAAAGAACATGTTCTTTCCGTCATGAATATGTGCTTTCTGCTCATACAGAACAGAAAAACACTTTCTGTGGATCTCTCAATGCATCGTCTTTTTTAGGTCAAGAACCACAGCTTTGTAGGAGTTCAACAAGGGCATTTTGCTAGAGGATACAAGGATCGATCATCTTCCCCTCTTACTTTGGTACACTGAACTGTCTTCTCTGTCTGCAACAACTGTTTACAACGTCACAATTGTTTTGGCCGCGCCGTCTTTATGCTGCAGCAGAGAGCTATGGTCTTCTTCCTTTACTGAAAAGAAGAACGATTTCAAAAGGTAACACTGCTTGGATATCAGCAAGAAATTCAGAACTCAGAACATCTTAAGTGTTCACACGTAAGTGCGACCACTGAGGACTCCGAGTTCCAAATAAATCACATCTTTGACCGCACCACCCCGATGTGGCGGCGAAAAGCAACAAGATTCCTTTGTATCTTTTCTCATTTATGGAAGATATGCATTTTTATCATGTTTACGCGAGGAATACTGTCTGGATATAAGCAAGAATTTACGTGAGGAATACTGTCTGGATATAAGCAAGAATTCATACCGAAGTGTTCAAGCATGCAACTGCGATCGGTGAAGACCTCGAGTTCATGATATCATGTGGCTTCAGTCAGAAGTGCAAGTGACAAAGTCACACGTACAAATAAACTACATTGTGAACACTCAAGATGTATCATGTGGATACAGAATCACACACAAATGAACCACTGTGCTTCAACCACAGAATCACATATATACTGGCATAGCGCATTAGTATTCCGCTACACCAAGAATGAGTATCATTACCGAGAAACTATTTGTACCATCAACTTCTTAAAACAAATCTTGGTTGCCAGCTGGTAGGCTTCCTGGAGAAACAACCAAACATAAGGTAGCCTGATTTTCTATATCCGCCTGAACTTGGTCAACATGGACAGTGATTAATTTCTCCACATGTTAATCATAACATGTGGAATTTTCTCTGCCGTCCGTGCCAACAAAATGGCCTTCATGGTTAACCTCCATAACTACGAATCCATCCCTATGTCCGATCATAATCCTATAGCCTAGCACAAAAGGAAGGAAAAGATTACAACCTTGCATCTTTTCACTGGAGAAAACAAGGAAACGTTAAAAATGTAACAACCATGTAGACAAAATTCCCTTTATCGAAGAAATTGTTGCCAAACATGTATAAACATATTATAAAACATGGAAGTACAAACATATGTAACAATATGGCACAAACCATAGTGATCAATGTACCGAAACCAAAAGATGACATCGGTCAGCCAGCTCATATGGAGCTTTCGAAGTCGCCCTTGCTACCAATTGTTTCTTCATCGTCAATATCCACTATAGATATGGCGTGGCTTTGTCCAATCACGACCCTATCATATAAATATAATATTGTTCTTTACAATGTTGGACTTATAAAATATATAAATCAAAGTGTGGCACAAATATAAAAGCAACCGGAAACAATTATATACATCTTTGAACAAATGAAATCATATTTGTGCAGCGTAGAAATGCTCTTCCGTAGTAAAACAAAAGGAAAAAAGAACAGCAAAAGATCATTAATTACCTCCTTGACTCCATCAAGCATGCAAGACCCATAACATCTGCCCCACGTAAGATGTTGAGAATTCCCCTAAGCCTGGGAAATTTAAGGTCCTTGGTAAGTTTGTATGATGACCAACTTCAGATACCCCATCCCTCTAGCAACATGGTGGTAAGGGTTCGGGGCTAGGTCTCGGTTCAGTTTGTGTTTCGGGTTATAGCACTATATGTATAGACAAGATCAGACACCTAGTTTAGTCCAGTTTTAGCGAAATCGACAACAACAGAGACAATCAGAGTGGGATTAGGCAAAATATCTTGGCTTTCCCTTAAAAAATGAATATGAACAAGAATGGTGGCACCGCAATCCTGTGCCCATTTTTCACAAGAGCAACACTCTCGAGATTACCTGAAATCGGTGGAGCTCCACAAATAAATGATGCCATTTCTTGTACCTGTAATTAGAACTGGAAGATTGGGATGGGAGAAGACATAAATGACTGGAGACCTAAAAACTTCCAGTGTAAGAATGCACGTCTTTTTCTGCAAGTCCCATATCTGATTCGAAACCAAAGGATGGCTTATTAGCATTTTTACGAGAGCGCGGTCTATTAGTATATATTTTGAATTAACGTAGCATACCTTGGCAGTATTATCAACAGAACCAGTAATCAAATATTGCCCATCATCACGTGTGAAGAAATCAAGGCATTTCACATTATCTGAATGGCCAGACAGAGTGTAATGGGATTTGGGTGAATCAAGACCCCAAACCTGAAAACCTGAACATCAGTAAAGGCATTGTAGGGAAAAGGTATCCGAGCAGCAAGATGTTAATTGGCAACAAAAAGGAAGAAACTCAGACCTTTATTGTGCGATCGTTCGACACACTAGCGAAACTGCTTGTGTCATTTGGATTAAATGCGAGTTGACATACAACATCAGAGTGTTCCCCTTCAAATGTTGTTATGCATTCCCATCCCTTGTCCCAGTCCCAAAGCTTTATCAGTCCGCCATAGGATGATGAAAGCACATACGGCTTGGTTGGATGAACGGCCAGTGATGTGACAGAGCTAACACGAGCTCTGAATCTCTGGATTTTCTTCTTTTTTATTGCTTCCTCTTGTACATGGATACCATCAGAGGACCCAGCCACAAACCATTGCTTTCGAGCAATAAATTTAATGCAGTCAACTGCAGTTATAGAGATGGGATCTTATTGCATTAGCATTTGACGTAAAAACTTGGCTTAACATGGAAATCAGATAGTGTACATGCGTGGGCCCCTAGAGATTTGTATTGGACCCCTCCATCTCTGACAGTAAATAGAGAAGACGCTATTAGTCCATTAGAAAGAAGGTTTTTCCACGGCACACATCAAACCCACACAAAACATAGCCATTTCATGACAACAGATGATTTTGCAATCACCTCACTTGCCGGGACCGGTAAGTCCCAAGTGTTAAAGTCAGTAATGATGTTTTTTACAGTAACCGAAACATGCTCATCAGTGTCCGTACAAACTTTGGCATTCCTAGCAGCCCATATTTTCCAAAGGATCAGGATGGAAGCTTCTATCCAAATGGCAATCATTTTCATATGTTAAATAACAAGGAGTGTTCACGGCAAGTACCTGTGTGACATAGTCCCATATACGGACATATCCACCGGAATGACCTATTATAATCCTGTTTAACCAGAACAGATGTACTATACAGAATAATCGCGTCCAAAGTACTCGCTTGAAAAGAAGTAACAATATAATGGAATGCCCAGTAATGCTATGAGCCTATTAACTCACCATGACTTTTCTGGATTTGCATCTATGGAATACAGCTCCTGACGAGCTCTTTCTACAGATATGACCTGATGCAACAGAACTTGATTGTGTAAACCTTAGAGAAACGACATTGAAGTTAGCAGATCTATGCAACAGAAAATGGAACTATGTACCTTCATTACAGGTGGGATGGTGTGCTACATCATATGCATCATATAAGATCACCACAAAAGAAAATACATCACAGAATTAGTAAGGAAACACCATTGTACAATATAGATACCCACCATTCAAGCAAAGATCATTTCAACAGTTTTGTCACTTTTAAATGCACATCACTTGACCTCAACTTGTTGGGATAATAAATAAGGAATTTCATGAAAGTTTCATTGCAATTTCCTTATCTTTCACTGACCTAAAAGCAATAAGCAATTTCATAAAAGCTTCATTTCAATTTTGCCTTCTACTTGAAATTTATCTTGCCAGAGGTTCATCACCTACATTTCATTTACTTCACCGCCATTCTGCAATCTTACACAAATGACATCTAAAATGATACCATCTCGGATCAAATTTTTTCTCCTTTAAAATCGCTTTTGCTAATAATATAACAGTATGGGAAAACCTGTATAGCTTAGTGTGGAATTACACCATTATTTTTTCCTTCAAGCTATTTCCACTCCATAAGAACCTAATAAATTTTGATTATATTATTCATAAAATACTAAATGTTAAAGATTATGCCGACACTAACATCATATATTTTCTAAACATAGGTAGCACGACACAGAACAATTTAATTTTTACTAGCTTACTAACCAGACCAATCATGTTTCTAGTGGATTACTACTTTTTCTTTTCTCGGTCGCTGAATGGCAAGAACTTAACCCATGGAGCAGAAATGCCTTATTTACTTGAATCAACTCACCTTATATATTGTCTCTCCTTGTGGAGCAGAAACAGCTTTTAATGTCACCTCATGCATCACAGTGCCCACCTCTTTGGCTGCCTCAAAAAATCGGTCATTACATTGGCCTTGGATGATACCCTCCCCAAATTTAATACTCTGCAGGATCAGATCAAAATCTGTATCTTCTGACAGCTTAGCCGGCGGTGTCATTATCACAATGAGAGTGTAAGTAGACCGCTGCGGCACAACACCATACAGTGGAATATTACGGAAGCATGAATATATCCCTCTCTTTGGCTTAAGTTTAAATGCCACTTGTTCATCTGTGTTATTTGTTAGGTGAAGCGGGCACGGGAACGGGATTAACGCGTTGTAATCCAAAGGAAAGCGGAGTTCGAGTGGATGGACGTCAAGTGCCTCGCAGGACCCTGTAATCACCTGCACAAGAAAAGAACTTGTGTGATTTTGATTTACATGTCAGAACACTTCTTATGATTCCGAACATGTAAAGCCTTTGACGCTGTCCCGACAAAAAAAAAAGCCTTTGACGCTGAGCAAAACACAGATGCACAACTAAACTCCAGCAATTTTTCCAGAAATCTCCTCAAAATTCAAAGCTAAAACCTAAAAATTGCTAGAGCAAATACCGAGTGGTCGACTAGCTAGGACAGAAAACACATTTAATAACAACACATGTATTTACTATATTCCCAAAGTATCTACTTAGGCAATTTTAGATTCTATTCAGTCGACCCACAGTATCTATTTGATTAAATTTGGATTCCTTTCATCACACTTTCACTTTAGCTTATTTAACCAGGGTTCACTTACGCACTTGCTTCCACAGTTCGGCCCAAGCTGAAGATGTTCACTTATTTAGGTTTGTACTTCAATTTGGTTATGACTGTTGCTGACACCTTTGGAATGGCATCTAGGTTATTCTGACTACAGTTTTAAGTTACTTGAAGAGTAGAGAACTATGGTATTTATGCCACAAACATATAAAAGTAATTATGTAAACATGTTAGTTCTAAACTACTCTCTCCGTCCAGAAATAACTGTCGCTCAAATGGATGTATCTAGCACTGAAATACGTACATCCATTTGAGCGACAGTTATTTCTGGACGGAGGTAGTACTTGCCAAATTGTACTCTCCTTAAGTTGTTAGCTATGCAATGATGTTGACATGTGTACGAGCTACTTTCAAGGGAACTATGCATGGTATATATAAGCGAAGGATCAGGCCGGCAGGGCCAACCCATATCTGATCGGAACTTCATTAGGTACTATAATTCAATTTAGTTCCGAAAGTGCAAAGCTTAGTACTCATAGATTAAACCTGTAGATTATTTTTGACACCATGTGATTATCAAGTATTGTGTTGTCAGGTTTCAGATCCATATGCATATCCTTTTACACTGTAAGATAACGCAATTGCTCACAGATTCCCTTGATCTACTTGATAGTGGGTATCAATTCCATGTCCCTTGCAGTATTTGCCAACACACAATCCTTTTGTTTCATACACTGCTCATCTTCTGATCTTTGGGTGTTCTGTAATTAACTTCTTTTTTTCTGAAAAGACATATCTACCTTGTAAACACGCCGAGATACACCCTGGCTATTTATTCGCTCATAAGATGAATCTTCCATGATGTTCTCCAAACTTGCGCATGGTAAATTTGTTGCTTTCTCTCTTCCAGCATGCATACTCTCCAGTCCACTATGCTCCATATATCTGTTCACCCAATCAATTACATGATACATTCTTAAGAATTGTAGCATGGAGAAGTCATTCTGTTTACGAGAAAACTCAAAACAAAATGGTTTGTAGTAATAACATTTTAAATCATAAACAGTAGATTAATGTCCAAGTATTTTCTCCAGTACGAACCTTGTTGCTTTAGGCAAATTCCAGACCACAAACTAGTAGTACAAAACTTGGAACCAGGCTATCTTGGAGTTCAGATTCAACTCAATCAAGTGCATTGACCAGAAAATGATATATGGTGAAACAGAGGTTGTTTGTTGGAGGCTTGCAGAAACTGAACTCATACCATGAAGATGAGCATTCAAGCAAAGAAGGGCGCACCTACCAAATTAGCCTGTCCTGCACGTGGACTCAGAAGTCAGAACACGATCTGGAACTGCTTTTTCAGTCCAACAATATGATCACAACCTGCATTTAAGAGGTGGACGAACATTATTTCAGATGTATAAACATATGTAGGAAACACAAAAATATGCTTGTCAAATCGAGACACAACCCCCTTTCTTACTCTGTTTAAAGGTTAAAGTTCTGTGTATAGTTGAAGTGTTGAAGATAGTTGGATTCAGCAAGAAGTTAACAGAACTGCTGAGAGATGAAAAGAGAATGAATTCTCAACGCAATATATAGCTGTACATGCACACAGTTTGAAAGAGATGGGAATGTATCCTGGAGTAGTTTGCTAGCAGTGGAGGCTTCTGGGAAGGGAAGACTTTTCATGGATAGACGCTGATATATGCAATGAAACCAGCTAAGAGCTTGGGGTTAGTTCTAAAGTGCCAATTGCAGGATTAATTATGATAGCTTAAGAGTCTTTGCTTCTGACAT